CAGGGTAAGGACCAGGACGCCATTCAGGGGGACTCTCTGTGGTCCAACTACAGCACTGACCTGTGGAGCATCGTGGAGACCTTGTTCATTCAGGATGGACCCTTTCTGGTGGTCAGGCTCACCGTCATGACCTACTTCGGCATCATTCACCAGATGCTTGTATTCTTCACCTTCAAGAATTTCCTGGTGGTCATACTGAACTTTTACCGGTTGGCTGTTATATGCCAGGACTTCAAATTCTCCAGCGGTGACCTATAGGTCCGATGATGAGTTGTCTCGTGAAGTGGAGGGGATTGAAAAGAAAAATGTTGCATTGGTTATGTTACGAACAGAGTAAGAAAACAAGAAACTGCATGCTTTGAATTTCTGATCTGACATACAACAAAACCAGGACGGCAGAACAAGAAAAATATCCCAAATATGGTTCCACATGAACAGTTTTCTGCAAATCTCACCAACTATATCACAAATCAGTTTCCACAAATGATCTTGTTCATAGTTTACCACCAGAAAAAGTGAACTTGTTCACATTCAGTTTTCAATATAATGCACCAACTGACACACATTGACACCATTGACACAATTCAGTTTGGCACCTTTTCTCTCTTTGCATCTCATTATAGTCAAACTTACAATAAAAGTGCTCTTATTCACAAATAATTTATATTTTTAATTAAATAAGTCAGAAAATTGTGAAACTTTCTTACAGTCAGCACAATTAGGTCCAAAGCACTTGTGCTCATCAATGTGAGTTTTCACAGAAACTGAAAAAATGCCTCTAATTTCAGAAGAAATTCATTTTTGTTTGGTTTTAACAGAACAGAGCAACTGGATGACACAAAGGCTGCAAAATGGTAATAATTGCAAAGAACTAAACAAAAACAACTTTTTAACATTTTTTTGTATCTGATTTAAAAAACAATATGTTACAAAGTGAATAATGCTTGTTTTGGCTCTTCCTCACTGCACAAATGTTTTTTTTTTTACTTGTATCTTATTTTTAAGTGCAACAATCTTGAATACAATCTACAAAGTACACTCAGGTAATTCTGTTTATCATGAGCCTGGAAGGACTCGTCTCAGACTTTGTGATAAAGCTGTGGTGAATAAGCCACTAGACATATGTGAAGAAAAATGTTTGTGTTTCTGCTGCGTTATTCCTTAAGAAATAACCTTACTAAGTGCATTTCATCCTGTTAAAGTGTTATTGTTACCTTTTAAAGTGTTCATGGTTATCTCTGAAATATCCATCCATCCATAATCTTTACCCACTTATTCCATTTTGGGTCAAGGGGGTCGCTGGTGCCCATGTCCAGCAATCACTGTGCGAGGGGTGGGGGACACCCTGGACAGGTCGCAAGTCCATCACAGAGACACATAGAGACAAACGAGACAAACAACCATTCACTCTCTCACTCGCACCTAGGGACAATTTAAAGTTACCAATCAGCCTAACATGCATGTTTTTGGTCTGTGGGAGGAAACCGGAGCACCCGGAGAAAACCCACGCATGCACGGAGAGAACATGCAAACTCCACCCAGAAAGGCCCCTGGACCGGGGTTTGAACCAAGGACCTGCTCACTGAGAGGCAGCAGCTCTACCAGTTGCGCCACCGTGCTGCTCTCTGAAATATGGCTTGGTAAAATATCTTTCACCAGATCAGATGTTCTTTGATGTTTTATTGAAACTTGAGTTGTTTAACCTGCATGACTGTGAATGTACTCTCGATATGGTGTTCATGCATTTCTGAGTAACAGAATAAATGTTTTCAATAGTTCAGTCAAGAGTCTTTAGCTGGGGTTTTAGGCACACAGGAATTCTAATGCAGAACTTTCAGATCCACTATAGAAAGAAAACAAAGTATAAATAAACAAACAATATGAACACAGAGACATAAGAATAAATAAATGTTACAGAAGCAATAAAGTAATTCTCCTTAAGTGTTTTATCATTCGGCATGATTTGCTGTCAGTCTGTGCGGCAGGACACAAAGCTTTGATTGTTTAGATGGAGTCCACAAATGGATGATCAGTCCTGATTATTTTCTGTCTGCTGTCTTGACGACTCTCTGGATTCTTCCTCTCTGCCGGTGTGGTGTTGTTGTACCACACAGAGATGCCAGTAGAGAGGATGCTCTCCATCAGCCCCCTGTAGGACAACCTGTGGGGGGAGACGACCCAACTTGGCCTTCCTGAGCAGTCTGATGAAGTGCAGTCACTTCTCTGTTCACAGACCAGCTCAGATCTGATGAGACATGAAGACCAAGGAACTTGTGGTTGTCCACTCTTTCTACTTTGGTCTCTTTATTGAGCATGAAGTGGTTCTTCGCTCCAGAGACCAGAATGCTCTCGACCCCTGCCTTATACCCAGTTTTATCCCTTCCCTTGTTGAGGCTCAGGACGGTCGGCAGTGTATTTGAAGATTGTGTCTTTATTGTTGGAGACAGAGTTCTGGTGAACAGGGGGCTGAGGCAGCAGCCTTGTGGAACTCCAGAGCTGACTGTCATCTCAGAGGAGACCTTTCCTCTTTTCTTTACAACTTGTGAATTTGTGCATCACTAAAATGGCAACCTAAACTAGGAAAAGCTCATTTATGTGTGATTTTGAAGAACTTGTACTCATCAAATGTAACTCCAGGAAACAAATGGCTTCCTCTTGTTGTGGGCATCAGTTCTGTGTTTTGTTGTGGATCAGTGACAGACTTGTCATGCAGCTTCTGCTCGATGGAGTGCATCACAACCTGTTTTATAAAGGAGTTCAAGGCTTTCAGCTCCCATTAGAATCACAGCAGCCACTGTCAAACTGTCATGACTTATTTGATTGTCAGTTTTGTCTCTGATAAATTTTGCTTTTTATCTTTGGTTTTGTTTTCCTTCATTGACACTAGACATCCTCAGTGACTATTTTTTGGATCATGTCATCACATTTTTCTTATAATTTATTTCAGCTCAGCTTATCAGTCCTCCCTGACCAAAGGAGCCTGATGATTTTTTTTTTTAATATATATATTATTTTTTGTCAGATACTTGTGACCTTCACGAGACCTTGGTGGGCAGTCCATGATTTCTGGTTTTTTCCATTTATGTCCAGTATCTGATTATTTATTTTCTTACCAGTCCAGCTTGTTTTTGCCTTGGGTTGAGCACTTCCTGCTTTAGTGGCAGCCTTGCTTCACTTCTTTATTTAGTAAAAAAAAAAAATTGCTCGTCGCCTGTCTGCTCCTGCTGCTCTTGCACTTTAGTCCTCTATTCACTAATCTTATGGCATGTGTGCAAAACAACATAAATCACTCAGAAGTGTTCGCTAACTGAAACTGTACACAAAATATTTGAATTGTGAATGTTTTCTGAATCTGACAACAAGACAAGAATCTGACAAGAATCATGCAGGTCCACTCTAAGCAAAATCCAGTTCATGGCTCAGTCTCATCTGAATTCATCTCTTCACAGATAGAATCCAGTCCAGTTCCCCCTCACATGTAAATAAACCCATTGAATATCTTTACACTGAGTCTGTGTGCACCTTCTTGGTACTCTGACTAGTCGAACACTGCAAAGCTAATGAACACACCAATATGACAATTATATAATGTAAACACGCTAAAAAATGCACTCATAAGTTGTTCTTTACCATATAAAAACACTTAGTCAAGCTTTGCATTGCTATATGGGATTAAGTGGAAATACCAGAAACATGTCTGGGTAATAAAACATCTTCAAATAATTAAACTATTGCAGAAAAATAAACAAAGGCTCTTATTATAATACACATTGTTGTTCAAATAATCAAATAATCTGGAAAACACTTAGTCTGCACACTGCAAACACAAATACAAATAATGGGGAACTTTGAACCCTCTTTGTAGTAAAAAATTAAAATATTTTATTGTGAAAATCTCTGCATGAGCTCAGAAACACTTGGATAAAACATTATAGCTACAATGTGAGGTAAATATTTCCAGGTTAACTGCAAAAAATTGCACAGAAATTTGGTTTTGATGTAACAATTAATCTAAAATAACGTGTTTTTAAATTATTTGTGAGCCAGTCATCAAAATTACAAGAAATAAAGTCTTGAAATATTTCACTCTATGTGTAATGAGTCTATGTAATATGAATTTCACTTTCTGAAGTGATTGACAAAAAAATAGTTTTCATGATATTCTAAGTTGTTGAGATGCACCTGTAAATACTAAAACAAATTCTTTTTTTCAACTTTATTTGCAAATTAACAGTTTACAAAACAAGGTTCGCATAAAAAAGGACACATTGTAATACATGTCAATCAGAATATATAAACACAAGGAACAGAACACACACACAAATAAATAAATAAATAATGCTAGGGGGCTTATAGATCTAAAAATACATTCATAGTTTTTACTGCCTTTTTTAAAATCAGTCTTTAATTGTTCGAATATAATACTTGACCTCATAGTAAAAAAAACCATCAAAGCTTCGTTTCCTTCCAGAGTACTTTCTACAATGAATGTGATATTTTGCCAGTAATCGTAGAAGGTTTATAAATTTAAATAAATTCTTGTCGAGGACACGAACTTCCGGGCACCACCAGAAACGAGCAGATTAGTTTAACTCAGCGCCCTATAAAGAGATTAAAAAAGTATAAATAAAGAGACCAAATCTCTTTATAGGGCTCTGGTTTAACTGTGCCGCCATCTTGCGGCGACTTTGCGTACTACGTCACCTTTCTGTTTTTTTCTTTTCCTTCTTCTTCTAAAGTGTCTCTCCGTTACGTCTCGACTTTTACAGACTTGTTGGCTCGTCTCAATTTAAAACTCCAACTTTACTTTTTAATTTCTCAGGTTCGGGCTTGAACGTGCTCCTTGTGGATCGTGGGAGGTTTTTTTTTTTTTTCCCCTGAAATTTGACCCGCAGGCAACGGGCTCGGTTCGAACCAACCCAGGGCCCAACCCCTTCAGGTTCAGGTTGGACGACTTCTCCCTCCCTCTCTCTCTCTCTCTCTCTCTCGGGTGGGGCCGACAATATTATTATATCTTCAATCTCCACTTTCACCTTCGGACGGTTCGTTTCTCCTAAAAGACTTCGCCTCGTAATCTCTCAGTTTGTCCGCCTTCCTCCGGTCCCGACCGCCCGACATGTTCCGCTGTGGGATCGCCTACCCTCGCTGCAGGTGGATCCTGCCCCTGCTGCTGCTGTTCGCCGTCATTTTCGACATTATCGCCGTGGCGGCCCAGTCCGGATGGGTCGAGGACGATGGTGCCAAGTCCCACTACGCCAGCATGTGGGACGAGTGCCGGGGCAGGAACAACAACTGGGACTGCAGGACTCTCATGGAGCTCCGTAAGTGAACAAGTGGTTTAACCCCCCCACAAACAAAATCATCCAGAGTGAGGAGGGAGGCCTGTAAACAGTCAGCCAGGCCCAGTGAACTTTGCTCTTCACTGGTATTTATTTTAACCTGGCTGTAGAGTGTATAAAAAGACCCAAACAGCCAAGTTTCTGGCCTAAAGTTGAAATAATGTGAGTGGAAATTGATATATTTGTGAAAATGTCCAACTCATTATAGGTTAGTTTGTACATCCAAGGTAGAAGAAGTCAAATATTAAAGTAAAACAACAGTTCTTCACTTTGTCCTGTGGTTTAACCCTTTTTTCCAGCTTTAGATTGTGTGAAACTGTTTTTTTTAATACAGCAGAATGAATGAAAAGCTTTAAATACAAATGATTTAATTTAAAAAGTACAGGTTGAGTCAGGGCAACCATAACATATCACAACAAAATGTGTGTTCCTTTTGATCCAAAATATAACAGTAATCACTTAATTTAAGTAAAAATGGATTCAGCAACACTTTGAAGAGCTTGCGGAGCTGTAAATAGTAAATACAAGATTAATCTTGCTTTTAAAAAAAAAAATGTTGCAGCAGCTGCTACATCTCCATCTGCTTCAGTGTTGGCTGATTAGTCTATAGTTGATTAAAGTCTTTTTGTAGAAAAGTTTGTAATCCAAATGTCTTGATGTTTGTGTTATTACAGGCTAGCGTTTAACCTGCTAAAAGGAATAATTTAAAACTCCCATTCATGTGTTTTTGTTGTTACTAACAAACAAGATTTCTTAGCTGTCTGCCAAGAATTTAGCAATAGTTTAAAAAAAAAAATGGCTTCACACCCATTCATGTAAAACTGCTCCGACAGCAACATGTGTTTGTTCAATGTGACTAAAGCTACAGAAGCAAAACGCCTCGGGCACATTTCAAGATTTTAGAAAAAAGGTTGGTGTTTTTCCTGAAGGCAAATGGGAAACAGGATTTCAGACGGCTGTTTTGTGCACCGAGATATTTATAGACAGACTGCTAATGAGGCGCTGCAGTGAAGAGGTCCAGTCAAAGACGCGTAACTCAGTGACAACGCTCACGTATGTTGAACAAAAGGTGTGAACAGAACGTACGTCTGTGTCCTGCTCAGAGTGCGCCGGTAACATCACACTCCATGAGACTCGAGGAAAGTCGCTCAGCTCGTTTTTGCAGGTGGGTCACTACAAGTTGGGATCTGCAGGGCGAAAACATGTTCCCACAAACGTGCAGAAATGATCAGCTGAACTTTCTTTTTCTTGGGCATATAAATCATCTGAGCGCACAAGCTGACAGTCTTTTTTCTGCTGAAAGCTGCTGAAAAATCAGTAATCAGAACACTGGCTAAAGGCTGCAAGAAGCAGAACAGTAGCCAAAGCCTAAAAGGAGTAAGAATCTAGTTGAAACCTAAAAGGAGCAGAACGGTAGCTAAAAGAATCGGAACACTAGCTGAAATCTAAAAGGAGCATAACACTAAACTCTAAAAACAGGAACAACTACTTAAAAGTTAAAAGAAGCAAAATGCTAATGAAAACAGAAAGAAGCATAACAGAAGCTAAAATAAGCAGAACACTAGCTAAAACCTAAAAGGAGCATAACACTAAACGCTAAAAGCGGGAACAACTACTTAATAGATAAAACACGCAAAATGGTAACTTAAGAACAAAAAGGAGCATAACTATAGCTAAAAGGTATAAAGAGAAGAACACTAGCTTAAAGCTAACGGGAACCGGACACTAGCTAAAACTTTAAAGGAGCAGAACCCTAGCTAAAACCTAAAAGTAGCCGAATGCTAGCTAAAAGCTCAAAAGAAGATTAATATTTAGCCAAAGGTTTAAAGGAGCACAGCACTAGCTAAAGGTTAAAAAAAAAAGCAAAACACTAGCTTTGGCTGATTGGTAACTCTAAATTGTCCCCAGGTGTGAGTGAGTGTGTGAATGGTTGTTTGTCTTTATGTGTCCCTGTGATGGACTTGTGACCTGTCCAGGGTGTGTCCCCCGCCTCTCTCACAGTGACTACTGGATATGGGCACCAGTGACCCGAAAAGGAAGAAGCAGGCAAGATGATGGATGGATGGATAGCTAAATGCTAAAAGAAGCACAACACTAGCTAAAGACTAAAAGAAGCACAACACTAGCTAAAGACTAAAAGAAGCACAACACTAGCTAAAGGCTAAAAGAAGCACAACACTAGCTAAAGACTAAAAGAAGCACAACACTAGCGAAAGGCTAAAAGAAGCACAACACTAGCTAAACGCTAAAAGGAGCAAAACTACTTTAATTTAAAAAAAAAAAAAGCAAAATACTATCCAAAAGCTAAAAATAAAACTATAGAATTACCAAAAAGTGAACCATAAGTAATGAAAGGCTAGCTAAAGGTAACACAAGGTTTTTTATTTTTTATTTTATTTTATTTATTGTACACAAACGTATTAGTTCTGAGCAATAATTGTGGGAAATAATGCAAAGCCTCGTTAGCAGCTGTTGTAGTTCAAATTTTGGTTCAGTGCTTTGCTCCATGACAGCAGCAGTGCACAGTCCAAACATCATTATCGGGTTAAGCTAAACACTGATTAAAAACAAATGTTTTTTTAATGTAGTTCTCATAGCGCCTCATCATCAAACCAGTTTCACACGACTGAAAACAACACGTTGCTGATGTTCTGCAGGGTTCTTCTGGACTTTGTTAAAGTGTTTTTATTGTAAATCACATTTTTGTGTGTTTTGAGCTGCTGTTTTGACCGAGCCTCCTTTAGTCTCATGGAGGCCCGCTGCAGTTGAACAAAAGATGAACACAGCTGCCAGCAGAACAGTGGCTGGATAAGAAATGCATTCCCCCCTCTGAGGTTCCCAAATACTTGTGAGGACGAGTGCAACAACCGAGGAAACGAACACGGTAGACGTGTGTGCGTGCAGGAACTGTTTCCAAGAGACGTAACGTCAAAGTGTTCATGTGGGAGGAGGCCCAGGAACTGCAGCTTTCCTGTGAATAATACGCACAAACATGCATCCTTGTTTTAAAATGGGTGTGCCTTCAGAAAAATATGTAAATTTGTGATAGACAAAAGGTTTTTATGATTAAGCCAAGATGATTCATGGCATGACGGTTGTCAAATTTCTTGGCAGGATGCAGTATTCACCATAAGAGGATTTTTTTGTTGTCGTTTAATGTAAAGAAAAATCAGCAAGAGTTCATGTTGAACTATAATACACACCATTTTGCTTTTACATCTTATGAAACATTTTTAAACTATCATTGCTACACTGTATATTTTACCTTTTAGTCCAGCTGGTGCACATTTCTTCTCGTTAATTGTAGCACTTTCTTTCAACGTCATTTTCAAGGCTAGTTTTTGTCAGATGTGAGGAAACTGTTTCAAGGCCAATCACAATAAATTGCGACCCTCCTCAAGTAGTTCATGAAACCAAAATCTGATCAGCAGATTGTAAACGGGCTAACCCTGGTGGACGGTTTCTTTGCCTGACCAAAAATAACTGGGTCAGGTGAGACAAACATAAATTACTTGAAAGGAAGTCCTGTATCTAACACCAGTGAAACATTCTTCTGTCCTTAAATTAGAGAGGGTTTTTATAGTTTAAACAGGCAAAGCTTCACAGAATAAGTTTTCCAAAATGGTGTCATCTTTAGGGTCTTTTGTAAACGTGACTCATGCTGGCAACATGAGTCTGATTCAGTTCTGTCTGCTGTGCAAAAAAAAAGTAAAAAGATAGATTTTTGCCGTAAATGCATAAAAATGCGATGGCATCTCAACTCATTTTATAGCTCTAAACTGAATCCAGCAGGATCCAGTCTAGGTGTGCTGCCATCTTGTAATTCTGCACAATTGAGATGCTAAGCCCACACACAATCTTGTTTTTTTTTTTAGGCATTAAATTACAATTAAATACATTACAATTAAAGTATTTTTGAAATGAATATGTGCCTATGTTTTGTTCTCCTACATGAATACGTAATGCATATGGAGGGACGCGCTACATGATTGGCAGCAGTTGTTGACCCGGGGAGAAGCTGAGCGCTACATCTCTGTACTGCGCGTGGGGGTTGGTTAGCTTACCGCTACGTTAATGCAGTCTGTTCTCGACCTATCGAGTGGGGAAAGCGCTATTTTGTATTGTGCGCGGTTTGGAGTCTGAGCTGGGCTGCTACAATCTCTGCTTCCCGTCTGGAAGTGGTGGAGTTGTGGGGGGTGATTTGGTAGGCGGGGTGCTCAGTTCTGTCGACAGGGCACGGTGCCGTCCTTGAATAGTGATACGGGAAACACTGCCATGAATGAGCCGTAATTGTCGATCACTGTTTATTAATTGAACTGTACCGCCACTTTGTGGCCATCCATCCATTATCTTTTACCCACTTCTTCCTTTTTGAGTCGCCAAGTAAACAATACGTTTGTATAAAAATAAAAAAAAAAGCGACCCATTTGGATGATATTTTAAATAAACGGCACTCTTTACAATAAATAAACTATACTAACAATAACAAAAATCTTTAATAAATACAATAACAGTCAGAACCAGAACAATAAGCAGCAACAGACTGTTTACAATCTTACTAGTGAAGTTTTAAGTTTTTGGCCAAAAAGACCAACTTGTCCACATTTTCTGCCAAAATCATAGATCTAGTTGCAGTGACATCATCTCCAGCGGTGGTGAAAACCGCTCACTAACAACAGTACAGGAATAAAGAGGTAGAGCTTTGCTAATGTTGCAGTGTGGCTGTATTTGGCCTCATTACTCAGAACCTCTTGGACCTGCTCCCACAGGTGGGACAGGTCCCTGGAAAAGTTCAGAGTTCACTCATCACTGACTTCTTAGCTGGAGGTGATCTCTGGTGGATTTCTCTGAACAGGAAGACTCAGCTGCTATCTCTGTCCCAGACTAGAATAAAACACAAAGAGGTAAAAAAAAAAGGGGGGGGGGGGGGGTTAATAAGATTATAATAATAATTTAAAAAAAAGTTAATTACATAATAATAATAATAAAAGAACAATACCTCTTCTTGAACGGCCATCATTTCTGTTAAGAGGTGGTTGAATCTCTCGGTCATCATCATCATGTGACAGGGCTTTAATCTGGTCCAGGGCTTGTTGACGATCAGTTTTATCTTTTTCATAAAGTGCTGCTACAACTTTTTGGCTGAAGCGTTGACGTGATGGGATGTCGTAGCGGGGCTCTAACTTTAAGGTCAGCGCATCAACAACAGAAACGTAGATCCAGAGCTTTAAAAACTCCTACAGCTTGTGTTATTGCTCTGGACTAATCTGAATTACCTGATAACGGTTGTTTAAATGCTGCTGCTATCGGTCTTTGCAACAAGCTGCTAGAAGAGACGTTCACATTCGGATGATGTTGTTTCAAGTGCGTTAACAAGTCAGACGTGTTGCCTGCGGCAGATCCAATCTCCATGAAACGTCGACACGCAGCTTTGGATTTGTTCACTTGTCTTTTAACAAGAAAGCCACAATGTTCCCAAACAGGAGACCGCAACGACATGCTAGGCTGCTAATGCTACGCGTGCTGCAAGACTATAGCGCCGCGCTGAAACACCCGTGGCGCATAATCTCTCGTTAATAAAATTTAATGAGTGAAAAAGTAACCGAAACGGTACGCAGGTGGACCGAACCGAACGTGTCGTACCGTAACGGTTCAATACACCCACGTGTACGTTACACCCCTAATGCAAACTCCACCCAGAAAGATCCCTCCTGAGCCGGGATTTGAACTGATGACCATCTCGCTGAGAGGCAACAGCTCTACCAACTGAGCCACCCTACATTGTCTCTATTCTTTATATTTTTCCGCTTATCACTCACCTTGGTCTTTACATACTTATGTCTAAAATAAAATAAAAAGCTACAGTTATAATTAATAGATGGTGTAGAGGCAGGGCAGCCGGCTTGGGACCCAAAAGTCCCAGGTTCGATCCCCAGTCACTGCACATCACGTGGTGTCTTTGGGCAGCACACCTCATCCCCAAAATGCCTCCCGGGCGCCTTCAATAGCTGCCTACTGCAACTGCACCACCTGGTGGTGGATGGGTTAAATGCAGAGACTAATTTCGCCATTGTATGGAAACATACAGTGCTGACATTGTGATGACATTATTATTATTATTATAATTTCTGAAGTTTAGAGTCAAATGAGTGCCTCAGCTGATGGAATTTATTGGGGCTGCTGCTGTTCGCCATTATTTTTTACATTATCACAGTAAGCCTAGTCAGGATGTAACATGGACAAAGATGCAGTCTGACTACACTAGTATGTGGCAAGAGTGCCATGGCAGCAAAAACAACTGGAAGTGCAAGTTGCTAATGGTGAGCGTTGAGTCATCCCAAGTCCAGAATTGATATTTGTTTTTAAATCAACCGATCACCCAAATCAGATCTTCACATCTGATGGACTCTGACCCTCTCGACAGACATGTTTGAAATTACGTCTTGTAGAGAATCACGGCAGTACAGTATTCCCTCGCTACTTCGCTGTTCGACATTCGTGGACTCGCTCTTTCACGTTTTATTCAAAGTAAGAGTGGACATTGATGGATGAGCCACCTGAGCGGCATGGATTGTTTATTTAAAATAGATTATTTTAAAGATTTAGCACGTGCTGCACCTTTGTGCAGCCCATAGGTGCAGAGAGAAGCTCCCTCTGCAGCCTGTCATGATCTCCTCTCTGCTGTCCAGCCGCACCGATCGACTTTTGTCTTCAAACTTAAAATTTAAAGTCTGTCACGTCGTAAAATCGACATGTTTACAAAATATAAACATATTAAGTTATTTTTAATCATTTTAGAACGTCAGTGTTTAGTTGTTACAGTGTAAATGATCAAGAAGTAAATTTCTGCTCTGTGCTGCATCTGCATGAAGGGCTTTGCTGTCCTGCGCCTCTCTATAATTTAAATTTAAATACTGTAATATATAAAAAAAAAAAAAAATCCATTATTTAAAATATTACAGTATTTAAATTTAAATTGTTTATTTACACAGAAGAAGGGAGATTGGGAGTGAAACTTGGACTACTGTACCCCTACTTCACAGTTTTTCGCTTATCGCGGGGCCGTTGTCCCCTAAACCCCGTGATAAATGAGGGACTACTGTACAATGACCAAAGCTCAACAATCAGCACTATGAAAAGACGGGACAAGATGTTGAGAAACTGTAGGCTTTTTGGTCAAATCTTGAAAATAATTTAGTGCGAAGTCTTGTACAATTTCTAGCTTGATGTGTTAGCACTCAGAATATGTGTTGGGTATAACTCCCTGCTACAGCCACGCCAAGTTTTAGCTCAACATCTGTAAAGTTGACCGAGTTATAGACTTGTATAGATTCATGAGTGAGTATGAGCCTCTGACTGCTCTGAAAATATTTCACAAAAAAAAAAGTTTGTTCTTGTTGTTGAAGCTCAGTTGGTATTTTGTGTGTGACCGTTAGACCAGATCTGAAAGTTTGTAAAATTAGAGCTAAATGTTTTTGAAACGCATCAACCAGGAATAATGTTGGACCGAGTCAGTTTGGGAAGACTAGAAATGCATTTGTGTTTACAGAAGTTAATAGCTGCAGATTCCTGGGTGTTTGGTATGAAATGATTGTGTAAAAGAAAACAGATGTGGAACAGCTGGAAGGCGTAAAGCCAAGAACGTTAATCTGTTCTTTACCAATATCCATGAGAAACAGTTATTTATGTCAGAACTACAAAAAACTCTTCAACCTAAACTTGTTCTTATTGCTCTTTATTTACAAGTTATACAACCAAGCGTTAAATGGGAAGGGAATAAGAAGTGTGTAACTGTTACAACTTTTATAATTTAGTTGTTTTGTGCTAATTTTTTCAACTTCTTGAATCATTTGAAGCTTGGATTTTTTTGTTTTGCACTGTATTGGATAAATAATTCTAACTAACCTATTATGTTTTGATGAGAAATGGCAGTACAAAAATTTACAACGAAGCAAAATTATTTGGGTTACATTTATTTGTCGAATGAAACTTGTCAACCAGGGCGGATGTGGCGCAAGTTTTATTTAGAAAGCTGCTTCTCACCGATTTAAGATTCAGAGGTTTTTCTCTTGTGCTGAAGACAGGAAGTTACATTGAGTGGCAACACAAACAAGGCAAGATGTGTCTAACAAGGTTAAGTCCGATCCTCTGAACAGATTCTTCTTTGTTAAAATGTTTTGCCTTTTATCCAAAAGACTTCTTCAGTCTGAGCAACAAACCCAGTCTTACAAATAGCACCTTCTCATAGTGGATCAACCAGTTCGTTGTGGCATCCAGAACTAGTTGTTCACATGTAAAAAGGGGGACCATCAGCCTAACAATTGATTGTTAGCACCCTGATGGCTGCTTGCTATTCACAGAGGGCTGAGTGAAATTAGCAATAACAGCATTGAAAGAGGATGACAGTTGAACACGGAGGCCTCCACCCCTATTTAATGATGGAATTTTTTTTCCACTAATATGGCTTCCTTCACTCTTTCAAACAGTATGCCTCACTATCAATGTGCACATCTTCATCCCTGATGGTGACTGCTGCCCTGCAGATGAGTGAAGACCCCAGAGTCCTGGCCAGATGATGTTGCTCTTCTGTGCTGGGCCTTGTTGTTGCAGCGCCTCAGACTGAACAAGTCTTTTGGATAAACAAAGTGTTTCAGCAAAGACGAAACTGTCCAGAGGGCCTTACTCAACCTTGTTAGATTTATCCACCTGGATTATTGAGCATGCATCAGGACAAGGCAAGATACAGATTATTTTTCACAAGTCAGACACATCGGGGATAAATAATTTTGTTTTCGAGTAAATAAAAAACCTGTTTTTAGGTGTTAGGCTTTCGTTTTAGATGACTAGGTAAAATTAATCCAGTCGAACAGGCTCTATGTAGTCCCGTGGAATAAAATGCCTCCAGCTGAGGCAAGTCTGGCATGACCTGAAGGCATCCAGGAACACGGCTCTGAATAATTTAAGGGTGTGGACTGATCTTGGAACAGCGTATTGACAAGACACTTTAAGGTCCTGGCTGTTTGTTGTTTTGAAATCTAGAACGAGATTAACTGCATTGATCCCCATCCTGGGTGTTTAGAATTCAACGTTTAAAACGTACTTCAACATTAATGTTAGCATTTTATTCCGACATGATAGTGGAGCCTGTGTGAATCAAAATAAACATGAGTCGTAGCTGCACCAGAGTTTTCCTAAGTGTTCGAAGTTTGCTTTATGTATATATAATTACAAGCCAATGTCAGAGCAGCCGCGAGGCGTTCAGGGAGCGGCAGCTGTGTGTCACACTGAAACTCTTCCTTTGCCTCAGTGAGTTCACCCTGGCAGCAGAACGAAAGGTGTTTCAGCAGGATGACACCCGTCTTGTCTAACTAAAGCTAATAGAAACTACTCAAGTACTCTCATTAACTTGCTTTTCCACCATGGTGTTGTGTCAAAATAAAAACAAAATGTACCTTTTTATACATAGTATTACTTCTAGTATGGCATCGTATTTTCAGCTTTTTCACAGTTTTTTGTTTTTGTTGTCAAATGCTGACATCAAGCACAATTAACCATAAAGACAAATGTAGCTCCGTGGTAAACCCAGTGCTTTAAAAAAAAAAATAATAATTTAAACCAACCTAAAACTTGACACTAGCAGGAAGTCTAAATGTTGCCTGTCTGGTAAAACTCGGGGCCTCCGCCGCAACCTGGTCTGCTGTAGTTTTAACGGGCAAAGTTATTTTAACAGCCAACAGATCAAGGCTACAGTTGTTTCCCTGAACACTTTTACTTAATAATTTATTGTTCTTACTCAAAAGTTTTTTATATGTTTTAATGGTAATTCTGCTAAGCATTAACTTTTGGTGATAACATTATGACCATTTGTGTCTTTTAATTTTTTTTACTCCAGCTTGGGCCCAGGTTGTGGCTGCTCTGATGATCATCGGCCTCATCATCCTCATCCTCTGCTTCATCCTCTCCATCGTGGCTCTGTGTCGCGACACCGTCAACATTGGTCTGCTTAAAGCCACAGGAGGACTGCTGGTTTTTGTTGGTAAGCTTCAGAGGCACTCACAAAGACCTTTTTTTTTTTTCCTACACCCGCCACGTACTAAAATACATTTTAAAAAATGTCTGTGGCTCAGAAGGTGGTTATTTTGTTTTTTGTTTGAATCTGAGCTGCACCCGTTGATTTGTGTTGATTTTCTCAGTTTGCTCCAAACCGTGTGTAACTCACCTCCCGACCTTTTAAGCTCATTGATCAGGTTGAAAAGAGTTTAATGTAAGAACAGTCTAGTATTTAAAGGTGGAGCTCCAACACCACATTCATCACATTTAATATGTACTGAAACTTATGAGCTACATGAAGGCAGACTCTTTTGGTTTAGGTCTTTGAGATCTTTGTTAATGGAGAAATGCGGAAAGACAACAAAAAGTGTAGTCGAAACCAAACGAAGATTTTGCTCCGCAACGCTACAGAATTAAGACGTGCAGTTGTTTCGACTTTGCTTTTCATTTTATCGCTGTTTTAAAAAAAAAATAAAAAAAAAAAATGCAGATTTATCAAGGATAAATAAAGATGAAGCATTTATTGTACTTTTAAGCGCAACATATTAAACTTTAAACTTTATTTGAATAAATTCAGTAACGTTTTTTAAAAAAAAAATTCTACCAATTCATCGATTTTCTTTACCTGCTTGTTCCTGTTCAGGGTCATGGGATTCCTCCGATCAGGTGGTGTTTATACAGTTGGATGGGGTTTTCAGAATATCTTTTCTATTTAAAGACTCGTTTAGCCTGAATTGTGGTACCAAATTAATTTAGAAAAGTTTTACAGGTGGAAGGTCAAAAATAGTTTAAGACCTGAGGGTTTTGCTCAATAATAAATTTAGTCTTGGAGGTCGGTGAAACATCCAGATCAGGAAGAGGGAACGAAGAGCATCAATGTAATGTCAGAATTCAGCAGAATAAAAAAATAATGACGATCATGAGCCAACCATAAAAGAAATGGTACCAGAATCCAGATCCAGTTTCTTATGACGGTGCCATAGCAACGGCTTGTTCAGTCTATGTGACCACAGAGAGCGTGAGAACAAACACAGACATGTAATCATGCAGCTTATCACTGTGAAACTGACGGGGCACCCAGCAGACCTCAGTGAGCCACAACCTTTGATTTAGTTGGAACTTGACGAAGAACTGAAGCAAAATCAAGAAATTAGCTGATTCACTAAAACCTCTCCTGAATTAAAAAAGTTGATGCTGAGATGGAGGGAAACGGTGAAGCCGTTCTTTTGCTGTCATGTCGTCTTTTGAAGGTGTGAGGGCTCAAAAAGAACAGTTTATATTTCAGATTGTGTGTGGTGGCAGCACTGGGCGCTGTCTGTCAACAAATGGGTCGCACACATTTTATAAACTCTGTGTAACTCTTGACACCGTCTTGTGAGGATATTTCCCACACCCTGCCGCTACAGCGCCGGCAACTGTCAGCAGGACTAAGAATGAAGTCATTGACCGTATTTTTCAGACTATAAGGCGCATTGAGCGAAACAAAACTAATAAGTCAAACTTTGGTCACCTCATTCACAATAACCAAATAAAATCAGTTTGAGGTCAGTAAGCACAACCAGAATTAATACATAAGGCGCACCTGATTATAAGGCTCGCTGTCGATTTTTGAGAAAAAATTTAAGGATTTTAAGTGCGCCTTATAGTCCGAAAAATACAGTATTTGCTTTTATAGCGTGCACATAAAACAAAAAACATGCATATCTGCTTTAAAAAAAACATTATTCAAACAAAAAAGTATGGTTTTACTGTGTTGAGCACACTTTCTAACCCTCCTGATCCCAGATCAAAAAGTAAATAAACTGTTCTTAATGTCTTGCCTGGTAAAATAAAAGTTAAATAAAGACGTTGTTAATGTTGATGAGAAACCAGATCTTGAGGCAGAAATGTACATCTAATGAGTTTCATTAAAATCCAACCAGTAAATTATACGATATTTTGCTAACACAGCACACATGCACATTATCGCCTGTCGTTCATGTTGGCAAACAATAATTAAGTAGAGTAAGATTTTGTAATAAAAATAGCAAATGTGTCAAATTTATTGCACAATAAAATTCTTTCAGTCTAGTTTGTGAGAGTCCAAATACAAAAATATTGATAAATAAATTATATAAACTGATCAGAACTAATCAGATTTTTTTTTTTAAATCTACCTCTATCAAAGCAGGATTGTTTTCTATTTTTTATTAGAATAATGGCCAGTGCAGCAAATAATCCAAATCTGTAGGTTTATTATTTTATTTTGTTAGTCATTCTCTCTGCACTGCAATCAGGTTGCCATAGCAACAGCCATGGCTGTAATATGACATCTTGTTGTGTGGCATGTTAACTTTGTTTCTGATGAGTCCCTCTGTGGTTCTCACTGTAAATTGCCTATTTATTTGTTTATGTAAATAAACTGAAATTAATTTTATTTATTTGAGGTGGGGGGGGGGGGGGGTCATGGTAATTAAAGTGGTTAAAGAAAGTTAAAGAGACAATTTAGGAAAATATGTGACCCGTGACACACATTTATGAAAGTTACAAATACATAAAGGGGTTTAAAATACCTAAATCTTAAGTCTGAAATATTAAATAAACTTCTAGGGAACTCTTAAAAAAGCTCTGTCTTCTTAGCTATTTTTTAAAATGATTTTAACATAAATTACTATAAACAATCATCCGTTAAAAGAAATAGTGATAACAAGGAAGTGTGGATCATTTATAGGGTGAAAAAGAAGTGAAATCAGTTTAATAATGTCTTGATGACAACTACTAGCTGATCTCAAACTGATCACCCTCCCTGGTTTGTTGGCTTTTTTTTTTTTGTAAACATAAAACCTTAGTTACAAAATTACAGAACAAAAGATCCAGGGGGTTTGAACATATGTACATATAAATAATGTCAAATTAAACAATGATAAACATAAGCAGAAAACATTAAAGAAACAGTTTTTTCTCTTTTTTTCCTTCATTTTGAACTGTTATAATTTCAACCAAACAAACAAAAAAAACATGAATATTTCCACCAAAATATTCTGTAAACAAAAATGTCCAAAACGGGAGCAGGAAGGCGCAATGGCTTATCCAGTCCTGTCCATAAGTTTACATACAAGTCGAACCTAAATCACGATCTCCAAAATGAGAACATTAGTTTTTTTTGTGCCTGCTGATTAGTAGAAAGTCAAATTAAGTGCATGTACTGCGCAAACTCGATCAGAAAGTCGACTAAACTGATTATTTCCTTAAAAAAAAAATGCAATTGTGTATATGGATTTTGGCCTTGATGATTAGCAATTTATAAATGAATTAAGTTGGACTCGTGTTTATGTTTTGCTGTAATCTAAATATGACATGTTTCCAGAGTAACAGACAGTTAGGCAATGTATTTTTAAGTCCGTATAGTCACAAACATGTTGCCATAACCCTTTGGAAAGAGGTCACAGCCAGAGCTGATGAGTGGGAGAGATCACAGAAAGGAAAGTTCATATCTATGACAGATTAGAACTTTTTATGGTTTTCTTTTGCAGGCTGTGTATGAGTTTGACACTTACTGATGAGAAGAAAAAGATTTAGCAAAAAGCCAGCCACATCATCTCCAGAACGGTTCCAGTGGGAGATGACGGCCGACCTCGGTCTGAAAGAGGTTTTGTTGCTGTGAGGTAGAAAGTTGAGACATTTTGTCTGCAGGGGAGCGAGTAGGAGCGAGTCTGGACCTGGTGACACTGAGCCCTGCAGATTTCTGAAGATAGAGCACCAAAAACTTTAGCATACTGTCCAGGAGAGATGGGAATATTACATTTAGGCAGGAATTCATCATACTTAAGTAAAACCCATAATTGTTGAAGATGCTGGGTCTAAACCACGTCTCTGGTCCGTTGAGGTTTATCCTTTATAGATGTGTGTTCACATCTTGTGCGTTGTGTGTGTGTGTCTGCAGCGATCATCCAGATCATCGCTCTCATCATCTACCCTGTCAACTTCAACGAGAGGATCTTCGAGGGCCAGTACTACTACACTTGGGCCTACGGGTTCGGCTGGGGCGCCACCATCCTCTGCCTCGGCTGCTCCATCCTCTTCTGCTGTCTGCCACGATACGAGGATGAACTGAACGGAATGGAGAAGATTAAATACTTCTACACTTCTTCCTAAAGACAGAGCCCCGCTCACTTCCAGTTATTTCCACCATTTTTTTTTTTTTACTCTGTTGGATCTGAAATGTTTTTGCCTTGCACCGTTTCACCAAAGATCTACTGAGTCACACCTCAAACATGTTTCAGCAAAGGAAATATCCCTCCCCTGCCAGCTCTAATCCACTAATCTGATATTTTTTTTAGATTAGATCAGCTTCTTTAAAACAGGTTTTTATTATTAGTGACACTAAATATTAGAATGCAGTCTCACCTAAGTGCACTTAACCCTCACAGATAAGCAATCTGGACTCTAGATTTTGCATAAGATGCGTAAACGAATGTTTTATATTCTCATGTTATTCTCATGAACTTCCTCAGCATTCGTGTTGCTTTGTAAGATTGTTGAGCGTAGACTCGGTTTAACAGCTCTGTTTGCACCTTTTTATGGATTTTCTGAATCTTTTTGCATCGAGATTTTTTTTAAAAATATTACCAATGAGGTATATCTTTGCAGGATTTTAGTGAGTATCGGTGTCGGGATTTGATTGATGACAAATGAGAAAAGGGTTTTTATTTCTTCGCTCTGATGCGTCAAACTTTGCCTTACTCAGAAACGCCCTTAAGTGCTATTTCGTTCCCCATGACCTTATTCCAGTTTAATATATTTTAATTATTTCAGGGGGCTACTTTTTCCAGGCAACACACTACTGAATATGAGCTGCCTTGTTTAATGATGTCAAATCTGGTTGAAATGGAACACAATGTTGTATTTTCTTTAGTTATCTGTGTATTTTTGTGTCAAACCTGGTACTTGTAAATCTTAATGTCTCTTAGATGTTGCTGTTTTGATGGAAAAACAAAAGACCAAAGTATTTTTTTTAAATATATATACACATATATAATCACTCCACGGTGTGCCTTAACCTATACTGTGTTGACCTAATCCGAACTGGACGGTCTTGTTTTTAATGCGGTCTTCCTCGTGTCACTTCCTGCTCAGACATGTTTATTAGAGATTAAATAAAGGAGTTCTGAAGAACTGTTAATGGAGTCACCCAGCTGGGCCCTTTCTCATGTAAGCTGGTATTCATTAAGAAGCGTTTTGTAATTGGGGATCAGTTTTCAACACCAGCTGTTTACTGTATGTCGATACGTTGCCGTAGTTGAGAGCGATTTCTTCGGAAAGCGCCCTGCTGGTTTTATTTTCTACTGCTCTGTGGAATAGTTTTGGTTGTAATATGCAATAAAGCCCTTTTATGTTTTGAAGAAATGAAATTCTGTTTTTATTGAAAGGAAGTTTCTAAAGTAAGATAAAATCTCAAGTCGTGGGGAAAAATATTGTATGTATAAAAATGCTACAATTTTTCAAATCCATATAAAAAAAGTGCATACGGCTTTTTATAAGATGCTGCACAAACATCTGAAAATTCAAAGATTTTAACTTAAATTCCCAGTTAAGAGACTTAAAATCCAGCTGAAGTCCTCGTGCACATAATGTTCCCGAGTGTGTTTATACTCGTCCTGTCACCTCATTGAGCTGCAGGCCCACAGAGATGATGATAAACACAGGAATGTCCCGAGTCAAACATGACACACACGCCCCGGGAGCCCCACCCTGAGGGAGGACAGTAACTATTACACTTTGCTCAGCATGTCCCAACAGCTCTGCTTTCTCTGAGGGGAAGGGTGGAGACAGAACAAAGTGTGAAGGAGACCTGCTGATGAAAGGAAAGTAACAAAAGGACATGGTGAGACACAAGGGGACGAACAGGAAGGGAAAGCAAAAGGTACACTAATCAAATGCAAACATGCTTGTGGAGTTTTATTTTTCATCTTGATATACTATTGTTTCTCTTTTTATATATTTTTCTTTAGTTTTTACTAAAAAAAATCTGACAAACTTGATCATTTCACTCCGTGAGCAGCATGTTTCCCAGGACACACACAAAAGATCTGTTTACATGGAAACAAGAACCAAGCCAGAAGAAAAGAATCTAAAAACATATTAAAATTGCTGAAGCCTACAATGTACTTTATAGTATTTTTGTACATTAGAAAACAAAACTTTTGTCCCTGAAAGGAATGCATATCACCCACCAGTATGCCTAAATTTAAAACAGAGCTTGTATAGTCTGCACTGAAAAGTTTGAGTTGTGTATGACTCAGCTACTACCACACCAAATTTTAGCTCAATATCTTTAAAACCAACAAAATAATTGTCCTTTTTATGTTAGCTAAGGTCAGTAGGCTGTGGCGGCCATCTTGAATCAGGTTGGCTTCAAAAGTTAAATCATTTGTAGTTGTACATCCAACTTTTAATTTCTGAAAGTTTAATAAAATTCTGTTTGCTGGCTCGTGAAATATTTTGCTAACAGACAGACCTGGTTGTGTCTAATACTTAATGGCTTAACGGTGTATGTTAGGGATGACTCTTAACTGTTTCTGCACCAATTTTTAGCACAATAAGGCGATTAGCTGTGGTGGCCATCTTGAATCAGGTTGATTCCAAAGGTTAATCAGTTGTAGATAAACCTTCAGGGATTATTATATTTATATATTATATTATATTTAGCCTATTTCCTGTATCGTTATTTACTGTTTATGTTTACACTTTGTATTTTTGCTATTGTTGGATGTAACTGGGACCCTGTGCACACAATTTCGTTCCACCTCATGCACCACATGTGATGCGAATGACAATAAACCTACTTGAACTTGTTGCCTGATAGAGGTTTATTCATATCCATTCCCTGGTTCATGGATTATTTTGCTAACATTCAGGTTTGACTGAAATTGTGCAGTTAATTTTAGTAAAGCTGCAGAAACTGGAGTATTTTTAATCAGTTTGTATTTACAACAAAACGTCACAGCTGTGTTGCAGTTTGTATTATGACCACTAGAGGTCAGGCTTGATCAGTGTTTCTGCAGCTGTGGCTCCATCCCTCACCTATTCAGCATCAGCAGTTTCCTCTTTAAATCAGAAAATACGGAATACAGTTATTTTTATTTTCTTCTTTAATTTTAGTCCACCACCACCCCTCTAATAAAATCACGATGCAACAATCAGTTAGTGACAGCTTTTTCTCCCCCTACACAAAGTCTGTGTCAAGTAACTCTTCTGTGGGGGTTGGTTTCGATCTGCCTCCAAGGTGCTTTCCACTCAGAAGAAGCACCAGAAGAACACTGAGATGTTCCTCTTCACAGTTCTCCCCAGGGTTCTCCCCGGTCTTCTGCCACCTCATACCGGGACGGGGCCCCGAGGCTTATGGGGCTCAGATGGAACGATCTGGGTTCAGAAGTCACTCTGAGGGACTGGCCACACTGTCAGAACACAAGAGGTGTATGACTCCAGAGGTGTCCTGAGGCTTCTGGAGTAAAGTGAACTACCTGGATTACCAGCAGACGCAGGGTTGCGAAGAAGGGCCATCGTCATAATTTTAAAGTTTCAGTTGTGATGTTAATTATTGAATTAAAGAGGCATGCTCCGTCATTGAGAGTAAGATTAATTTTACCTGCTTGATTTAAAGAGAGGGGATTGAGAAGTGATGGAGGAGGATGTAATTATGTGAGACAGGAACTGCTCGCTGACATAGGAACAAGGTCACAGCAGCTGTTTTATTAAAGTATTCAGTCTTTGCTGCATGCAGGAGAGCGCACACTTTGTCAGACAGGAAGTAGAGTCTGCCACCTCGTTTCCCCCCTCCTTTTTCTTGATCAGTCAAAATTTAAGTCTGAGCTTTTCTTGACCTGAAAAACATGTTGCAATGAATTGTTAGCCCATTCCAAACCACAAAAATGCAATTCTAATCCCATTTGCAGGTAAATCTTGCATTTCCATTCTTGCCCCAGATGTCTTTGCTACAGGCAGGAAAACCCTCCGGCAGTTTCTTTCGTGGTAAAGGTAAAGAAACCTAAGGTCAACATCTCTGAGCCGAATAAAAATAAATAAATAAATAAAAACACAGCAGAGGGTTATGACCCCAAATATTTCTGGTTTGAGAAAACAAATGTTAAAAACCTCATAGAACAACAGCATATTGATAATCCAAACAGCCTTTACAGCAGTAATATGTTTATAATTTCATGGTTATTTGATGCTTTTATTTGTAATAATGATGAGTAAAATATATGACATTATTCATGTTTTTTATTATTATACGCCCGTTGAAGGTGGATGGATTATGTGTGGTCCACACCATAACTTGTGATCCATTCAAGATAACATAATGAAACCATCTATCATCATTAGATGGAGTGTCACATACATTTTCATCACCCCAGCTCTAAGGTCAAGGTCACAAATCAAGGTCAAAGTTTATACAGGGTCTTTGCTTGTCTGGGCCCTTACTATAGATTTTATTGCTGTTTTGCTTTACAGTATAATAGTTTGTTGACAGGTGTGTAATGTGGTGTATATGGTACTCTTGTTTTACACTGATACTGTTTTCTGATTATTATGGGACACAAACTTGATGTTTCATGACCCATAGTTGGGTCATGACCCCAACTTTGGGTCATGACTCCAACTTTGGGAACCACTGTTGCAGCATTCTTCTTTGCACAAACATTTCTTTAAGCTTGTTGAGTAAAGCCAAGCTTTATAGGTTGTGTCAGTTTGTTTCATACACTGGCTCTGATACTACTGGCCCAACAAATGACTTCAAAAAGACTTTTCAGACATTTGCAACATACTGACGCGAACTGAAAAAATTTCAATCTTGGCGTCTCCAATAAGGAGTAAACACTCTTCTTCTCCTTGTCTCCAAAAAATGGTGATGATAATGATGTTTTTTTTTTATGACAAAACTGGAAATACATATTCCAGTTAAAGGTCTAGCACCCAGCTACCCCATTAAAGTCTGAATCAAGATCTCTAAATCTGATTGCGTTATAGCCTTTTTTGTGTTAATTGAAGTTGCTAAGCTGTGGCGGCCGACTTGAACGAGGTTGACTCTGAAAGTTAAATATGTCTAGGTGTTCACCAAATGATTACTTTTAGCAAATTTCATTCAACTGTGCCCAGTGGTTCATGAGATATTTTGCAAACAGACGGATTGACACCAACAGCTGCAATCATGCAGAATGAGTAGCACTTGGAGAATGTGCTGGGGATGACTCACGGCTACTACCACACCAGGTTTTAGCTTGATATCTGTATAACTAACTAGTGTTTCTTTACAGTAAGTTAGCTGTGGGGGGCCAGGTTGGATTGGGTTGGTTTAATATGCCAATTGTTTTAGGGGTCCATGCAAAAATTGTTTTCTGAAAGTAGAAATCTGCTTTTCACGACAAAAATAACTAGATACACTGTAAACACCCAGCTTGCCCCAATTTATCCACTTGGGCAAGTCCCTTATATTAACTGTTCTTAGGACTGCGCTCTTCTGGACAGAGATCTCTGAGGTTGATCCTGTTGGAGTCACTTCTCCAGTTTGAGGGTCACGGCACCGAGTGCTCCAACTGAAGCTTTGACTTTCCTCCAATTCTCTATTTCCTCTTTCAGCCCTTCTCGTGTTCCGTGTCACTTGGAATTGCTACATCTATCAACACTGCCTTCTTCTCTTGCTTGTTGACCACCACAATGCTCGGTTGGTTAGCCATCGCCTGTTTGTTGGTCTGGATCTGGAAGTCCCTCAGTCTCTTAGCCCTGTCATTCTCCACCACTCTTTGGTGGCATCTCCCACTTTGACTGTGGGACCTCCAGTCCAAACTCAGCACAAATGTTCCTGTATATTATTCCAGCCTCTTTGTTTTGGAGTTCATGTTTGCCTTCCTGGATCTTACATCCTACTATTATGTGTTGGACAGTCTCAGGGTCATCTTTGCACAGCCTGCCTCTTGGGTCTGGTCTAGTGTGGTAGACCCCGGCCTCTGTTGTTATTGTGCTGCCATGATTAGTCCCTCTGCTGTCCTTCAGTCCAGCCTTTCCTAGCCACGTAAAGTACTTCACTTAATTTATATGTTTATTTAATCACTACTACTACTATTATTATTATTATTATTAATAATAATAATAATAATAATAATAATAAATGACTAGCTGTAACAAACCAGTTCTTGTAACAGATCAGCGTCTCACTTGCTTCCTTTTCGGTGGGGTTTCCATCTGCTTGTATGTGCTCTTATTTGTGCTTTCTTTGCATTGATCTTTCCCGTGTGTGACTCAGTCAGCATGTGACCTAAGGGTAAAACTTTTGGAAAGTTTTGAATAATAAAGCATCATGAAATGTGGCATCTAAGTAAAACCCAACGTGTTCAGGGTTAGTCAAGGGTGGATGTTTGTTTTGTTGCACAAAATGTGCTCGGCATCAAGACGAAGGCTTTAAAAAAGTTTATAATGAGCTCATTCTTTGTGAACGTACGTCAGGTGATAATTAGGTTTCTGTTCCTTGCTTATAGTAGGAAATTAACCTGTGGTTTTCAGTGTTTTACCAGCAGAACAAGGAACTGTGAGTCTTTCCACAGGGAAGAGAAAGGAAAAGGGAAATAGAGCGATGAATCAGCATTGGAGGGAGGGTGGGGGAGGATAAAATGACAGGTAGAAAAGACCAGATGCGTTACCTGGAGATGTGCTCACTGTGAGGCTATAACACTAAATTCAGCTCTAATTCACATCACAGGTAAGTCAACCACAACTTTTTGTATATTATAGACTCCTGTCATTTTCAAGCATCTTTTAGATTATTGTATGTCAATAAATGTAATCTTGACTAGAATATATGTTGCTATGAGTCATCTGTCAGAATGGTAAATGATCAAACTGTAAATAATAATGTAGGATTAAAGGGGCCCCTCTCTTTATGACCTTTGACCTAAAGTTATCTGTCAGTACCTGCTCTCTCTAAAGTTTTCTTGCTCTGAGTAATTCTTGATTGCTTGGACACGTGTAGCACTAATGATCATGACCATTTATGAGTTTTGACAATGATAAGTATAAAATAATTAAGTAATCTAACGTGTGAATGACTCCTAATAATCAGTCTATCGATCAGCAAACCGTTCTGCAGCTCCTGCTTTAACAAGAGCTTAAATATAAAGTAAATTCATGAAAAGATGTTGCCTTTTATGTTTTTCATAACAATTCCCCAAAACACACACACACACACACACATATATATATATATATATATAAATATAAATATATATAAATAATCTATTTATAATAGTTTTCACTTCATGTACCAATTATGGCAAATACACCACTGATATATTTTTATTTCATTTAATTTCAGGAGATCATTTAGAGCTTTATGACCTTTAATCTCAACCTTTTGAAACTGCTGATTTAAAAACTGAACACAGCGTCAGACACTGCAGCCGCATAGTTGCTTTTTTTAATATGACAAACAGTACATCATTTTCTTGCAAAGGAAAACAAACAATTTGTGAAATGTAACACCTATAAACCACAAGAGTGCCTTCTTTTAGTATCTCATTGTTCACAGAATGGCTGGCAGGTGCCCATTTACACCGTTTAAATGTATTTCTTCATTATATTTATCTTTCATTTCTATATTTCCTCTTGAATTCTTCAAAAAGATATTTGTATGAGAGGTGTTTCACAGCTGCAGGTTTATTTTCAGCTTCTTATCAGTACTGGTGGGTGGTGCGCTGCAATGTGCATGATCAAAGTTAGGTGAAGTTTGCTTGAATGTCAAGTCAAGTCACATTTATTTATAAAGCACATTTAAAACAGTAACTGTTATCAAAGTGCTTGTGAATAAGAAGTATATAATTAATCAAAGAGGGGATGGGGGCGCCTAAAGTTTTCAAAGGGGTTGCCAGATGGAGTAATCTTGAGGTGGGCCACCAAAACCAAAAGCCCTGAAAGAGTTGCAAGTGGTTTTTTTCATGTAACTGTTGTCAGATACAGCTTATTTGAAATATTAGCAATACAGGCGTTAGAAAACCATCTTTTTTAAAATCATATTTCTTATTCTAAAATTGATCTTACTAACTGAGAACAGAGCAGGCATTACTCAACCAATTAAACCTGGCAAAATACTAAATTTCTCAATTTTTTTGTAGGTTGAATTTTTAAGCTTTTAATATAATTTCTAGATCATTAAATTATTGTTTGGGGGTTACGTCAACTGAAATTCATAAGGGCTTTTGAAGAAATTGCGAAACATTGGAAACGTTCCTCGCATTTGTTTACAACTAAATTCAATGTCAGTGTCCGAATGTAAACAAACGACATGCAAATGTTGGCAACAAAACACGACTCTGTTGACGTTGCTAGATTATTACAAAGTATGAGGTAGATATTTGGTAGTGATAAACATATTGTGTATATAAAACGGTCTGGCCTGAGGGAGGAGTAGCAAAATGATTGGGGTGACCGTGGCCCCCCTCTTGGTGGTGCCTCTGGAGAGGGGCATTTAAAGTCATTCCTTTGATCTATGGGTCATGTATAATAGCAGAAAGCACATATTTCCCTCTGGATCGTCTAATTCTTCTATAAATACATGATTTTACGAGTCAGGACAGCATCATCACTGCAAAAGCTGTAGTCAAATAAACGCAGAAGTCAAAATCTGCTTCTCATCAACAGGTTTTACTTTTTCTGAGTCACTTGCTGAAGCTGATTTTTTTTTATGTTTTTTTTTTTTTGTTTTGCGGGTGGTGGTGTTAATGATTAATTTCTAAGGCTGTCTCATGAAATAAAGTCTGACGCGACATGTCTGAAGGCTCGATGGCGCTTCTTTGTGCTCAGGAGGCCGAATGTGCTCCTCAGACGGACGCGCACCCCCTAGCGGCAGCGAGCCGCAACTGCATCAGATTGAAAGAGAGGGAGGAAAATGGGTGGACGGAAAGTCCCCGTGTGGAAATCCCCTTGACTTTTTTTTTTTTTTTTCTAAAAGACTAGCGAACGTGTCTAGTCTTTTCGAAAAGCTTTGCGAGCTGCCAGGGCTCCGAAGCAGATGAGATACAGTGAAGAGAACGAGAAGGGTGAATGGCGCCGAGAACCGCTGCGGTGAGGCTGAGTGAAGTGGCTGAGAGAGGACTAGCCTGAGCATCCGGGAGGCTTTGTTACCACCCCCTCCTCCCTCCGACATATTACAGGTAAGACAGCAGTCCTGTCGTCTTCTGCCTCTCGGTGTGGACGACATCCCCCGCCGAGTGGGGCGAGACTTGGCGAACGCGGCGTGTTTGGGCCCGGAGTAACGTGCGCTCGTGTTTCTGTGCGGGGGGGACGTGGAGGAGGAAGCCTGCTCACGACAGTGGCTTTGACAGCCATTGTTTACAAAGACGTCACCCTCGAGCGGATAACGAGGCGTCAAGCGGACAAACGTGTCACCCGCGCGGGTTCTCTGCGTCCGCGCGCGCCCCGTGAACCGCCGAGGAGCCCTTCATTGTCTTTAAGGTAGTTGTCATCGCAATTACGTAAGCCTTGAACGTCAGCAAAGTCTCCTGTTGTTGTTTTTTTTTTTTTTTTTTGCTCGCCATGCTAACCCGCTGCGTCCAACACTGCCGTGGAAACACCTCAGACCCAGCGTGCTCCCTGACAGCAGGTGTCTGTTTTATTTGTTTATTTTTATTTTTAGTCCCTCAAGTCAGTGAGTGACTTAGCTTTAGCATGGCCTAGCCTGTTGTTGCACCTGCTGCTCCTCAGTAAAACACAGAGGCCACTTCAGCTGTCAGGTGGCTGTGAACTTTGACTCACTCAGCTCGTATGAGATGGGAGTTAAAAAGTCAGCAGACTTCCAGGCGTACTTGCTGATCATTAGTTTTCCACTTCCTGTCAAACGCTGTCTTCATTTTGGCTGAAATGTTCCTTTAAAACTTCTGCACCTCAGCCTTTCTTCTCACTGCTCCTTGGAAGCTTTATTTTTATGGATAAAGCATCACAACTATAAGTTACTACAAGTTAGCATAATTTTTTTTAACCATATTTGACTTTGTTGGATAAGAACAAAGTTTATCTACCTCCTACATGAAGAACTGCATTCTATCTGTACTAACACCCTGAAATTTGCCTTTAAATTGACCCAGGTGGACAGCTGGTTAGGAGGACTCATGACCTTCACAGCAGTCTGGAAAATGCTGGGTACCCCGCGGTGAAAGTCTGGAAAGCACCAGTTTATTGTTGGAGGATTTTGAGCTCAGCGGGGACAGCCTGTTGGGGGTGACAACTCTTTAGAAACCGTCAAAATGAAAAGGAGAATTAGAAGATAAAGCCATGAATACAAGGCGTTCTTTGTGCGTTTAATTTAGTTTGGATGAGCAGAATCTCCTGTCAGCACCAAACATGTCCGCAGTCAAATATCCCTGCGTTCTGGGTGGTTTCCCGAGCAAACAGTGAATTAGGTTGTCTTAAGTCTCAATTAATAAGGAAGGGGAATCTCCACAGAAAATTTCCCAACAGCCCCGCCAGTCTGATGGTTATTCTACTGCAACCAATTTTCTCCCCTTTTTTCTCTGTCCAGTTTCCACATTGTTCGAACATCGCCGGTTGCAGCCTCCTTGTTCCCCCTCCTGCCCGGCTACTCGTCCGCCATGTCGCAGGGTCAAAACTTCCTCCCCAAGTTCCTGTTCGTCTCCAACCTGCTGAAAGCCGTGAAGATCCGTCAGCGAGTGCCCAATGACGTGGTGAAGCCTGCCGCCAGCGGTGACCTCATGCACCACCTGCGGGGAATGCACCGCCACACGCTGGAGATGATCGCCATGAACCACTTCCCCCAGGCCTTCAGGGAGGTAGTGCAGGCCGCCATCCTGGACCGAGGGATGCAGGCCTCGTTGGAACAGGAGAAGAAGCTCAACTGGTGTCGGGAGTTGAAGAAGATGGTGCCACTTCGCACCAATGGTAAGAAACACTAAACTGATGTTAGGGAACGTGTTGGAATGGGAAGAGGTTGGGGACAGTGATGTAGTCTACATTTTTGTACTGGGTATAGTACGCTGGTGAAGATTCTCAATCATCCAGGACATGGTAAATTCAAAAAAGTTCAAGACAAAAACAAATGGACTGTATTTGTAACAGAAGACGCGATAGGTCAATCTGCATATGTATGTGTGTATCTTGTCTCCAGCTTTATAACCTGAACCCCACACTCCGTGTTTCTTTGAATTGAGAAAGCTTCTCGGATGAGAAGCAAAACGTCTTCTGTTATAAATAAAGTCCAGTTGTTTTTGTCTTGAACTTTTTTGAATTTACTGGGTATACTGTGCTTAGAAACCGAAGTACACCGGTTAGTACAATGTAATTGTCAATTTATTTTGAATTTTAAATGGTAAAATGGGCTGTACTTATATAGCACCTTTCTATCTTATTTCAAGATACTCAAAGCGCTTTACACTACAATCTGTGTCCTCATCTACCCATTCATACATTACTCTACTAAATCTCTACAACGCTAATTGAACAAATCATTCTAACGAGACTAATCAGTGCTTTAGATCACATTCATACACTGATGGGACACACATCAGAGGCAACGAGGGGTTCAGTGTCTTGCCCAGGGACACTGCAGCATGTGACTGCTGGTGGATTCGAACCCCCAACTCTTGCATTGGAGGATGACTGCTCTAACCACTCAGCCACAGCTGCCCCATTTTAAGCATATTGAACACTTCAAAATTTCTCTGATGCTTATATTTGAATAAACGTACAACAAACTTTGTACAACACTTGGTTTTGTATTAAAAACATGTTATAGAATTTAATAAACTGTAGCAAAACATGTTCAAGTATTAAGTAGTAAGTACAGAAGTATTACTTATACAAAAGACAGGTTGAACCAATTCAATGTGTCTATAAAATGTTCCAAATGTGTTGACAGACATGTCCAATGATATGTCACACATTATTGTGCACTTTTAAGTGGGTATACTGAAATTCCCGAGCTTTTCATGGGTATACTTTGCATAGTCTTTCACATAGACTACACCACTGGGTTGGGGGTGTTTTATCAAATAGTTTAGGTTTAGTTGTACTTTTGGGGCTAAATGAGGAAGGTGATTCACAGGAACAATTCATCAGATTGGTTTAATTGGTTTAAAACTTGGGTCTTCTCGCTTTTAGAAACAGTTCCTTATCTGCGTTGCTCCCTGCTGAGCACGGTTGTTGCTTTTGTTTCATTTTCTGTAACAGAAATGGTGCAAGTCAAATGTATTCAACATGCAAGTTCTCAGATGTCGTTACTCATAAGCAGGATTACTGTAAGTGACAATAATCGAGGCACATGGGTTCCACTTTCATATAGACTCATTTAGCTATCTTGTTGGTTTTACTGGGCCGCTCGCTGGATTTCAGACGGCCCACTGCTGCGAAGTCATGTTTTCTGTTACGTTTATGTTGCAACTCGGGAACATCCCAGCATAGACAAACATTCACGCAGGGGGTCTGAGCTCTTCTGATCACAGCTTTATACTGGAAATGTCACCAGCGTCACTTACAGCACTGGTATTTACTGTTGCTGATGTTTCAGGCCAAGTATTTCCACTGTTTTCATTTGCAGCCATTGTGGGTTTCACCTAGTTTTTTTTTTTTCCTTTAAGGTGTACAGAAGAAGTGTGAATGTCAAAACATCACATAGGTTTACCCACACCTGCCTGACTGAGGTCAACGTCTCAGTCACCTGTTTCTGTTTTAATATACATATTTTACTTCACACACATCTGGTATGTGCACAGATCTATTTTAGGTGAAGGGGGAAAAACAGTCTTTGAAGAAAATCATCAGCCATAGCATTCACAACAGGAGGAGGAAGTGGAAATCAGCACTACAAGTTTGACCTAAACGTGGGTTTTCAGAGGAAATGTTTCTGTTTGTGAGAAATTCCTTTATCACCCTCATCTGAGAATTTACACTGTACAGTTACTGGATGGGGAAGGAACTTACTGGACTTTTTGTGCTATGTCCTAAGGGTCCCTGTCATTTTTGAAATTGTTAATAACTGTATGACTCACTGCAACTTCCATCAGTGCATAGTTCCTCTTTAAGAAAGACTCTTTAATTGATGACAGACTAGTCTGTCTTGACTTCAGCTGCCAGTAACCTGAAAGGAATTTCCTGGCTTATGAAGTTGATGTCATAGAGATGAGACCGAATGTAGAAGTGGACCGTCTAACTCTGAAGGACCCAGACGTGACTTTGAGCAGAGGACGTACGACACACACACACATACCCAGAGAGGACTGGCTGTTGCTGAGTCACTGGACCTCAGCAGACGTACATACAAAACATGACAAAGAACAAGACCACCAGGGAACGTCCAGCATCGTCTGGGACTTAAATTTCAGTCTTTTTCTCAGCCTCTTGTTTCTGTAAGCTTCCTGAAGACTCAAAGTCTCCAGAGATTTTAAGATTTAATAAAGATAATTAACTAACGTAAATAAAACAAATTTAAAAAAGCCAGCTAAGCCATAATCATTTTCTTGTCTTCCCCAACAAAGTACTCTGATAAAATTTTAGTTTCTTTACTTAAAAATGTCTGAGTATTTTTCCCCAAACACCATCCAAAGAGTGTCATGTGTCCGCTTCACACAGGGTTGGTTCAGGAATGATAAACCGGTCCATGTTTTGCAGCAACAAAGGATACATTAGGATTTAATCTACATCGAGGATTTCTTCAATGCTGCATTAGTTTAACTTTTATTTGCACCTATTTTAAAAGAATTCATTACAAACGATGAAGTCGGCTTCAAAAAGATTTCCTGAACTATATTAAGTGGTTCAGTTTGAAAGAGTTTTCTACATCCAAATACGTTGATATGCAATTGTTAAATGCGGGTACACACTCAATGTAATCAAAGCACTTTCAAGTTCAAGGTTCATTACTTTCATTTGCATCACATGCGGTACATGAGGTGGAATGAAATTGTGTACTCAAGGTTCCCAGTTACACCCCAAAATAGCAATAATATAAAGTATAAAAAACCCAGTATATAAGGATCTAAGATACCGGTATATGCTAAAGCAGGGTTCTGCAACCTGCGGCTCTGGAGCCACATGCGGCTCTTTGGTCCCTCTTCAACGACTCAAGCTTTGACCAAAATTGGCATAAAACTGAATCTTATTGGTTATACAAAAAAGGATTATTTCAAAGTTTTCCTGACATTTATTTTGCAAATATGAACATTGGAGCAAGTACAAGGAGTAAGATACTTTAACTTGATGCTTTATTTATTTATATGAAGAACTGTCTGCATAGTTTATAGATTTTTTTTAAATAAAAAAAAGTACCCCCCCCCCCCCCCAAAAAAAAAAAACAAAAAAAAACAACAAGAATCTGGTATTTTTCTTTAATAAATGTTAAAAAATAATTTTGATATTTGTTTACTTTATAATGTCACCCTTACTGGCTACAAAAGCCCCCTCCAGCAAACATAAAGTGGCCCATGGGCCACCAGTTGATGACCACAGTTGTAGCAGGTTGTTGCAGCTCCGCACACGTTCAATGTAGTGAATGGAGACGTAAAAATGGCTCTCTTGACCGTGAAGGTCGCAGACCCCTGCGCTAAAGGATCTAAGATGTACGCTAAACACTAATAATGTAAAATAATACGGTATATTAAACAGCATCCCGAACATTATTCATCATTGTACTTTACTCAACAAATCTGAGCGTAAATACGTACCAATGCATCAAATTACCAGATTTCTCATTCCCAAATGGCTCTTCCATGGACGTCGCCATTGTTGACATATTTTCAGTCACTTTGGCTGTTTTCTGCAGTAAACAAGATCTCATAGTATTTGGCATCAGGTCACAAATTTAGCTTTGTAACTTAATGAATATTGATATGGGAGAGACATTGCGTGTGGATTTTGTTTCTTATTATATGAATTTTCTTTTGAATAGTCTTCATAAAGTTGTGGTGACTACCTCTTAAGTGCAGGAACCAGAATCGGAGCCCCATTAGACACGCAACACATTTACGTTGTGCTGTCACCTTGGTGGCAACAAAAATAGCGATGGTTTGGTCCTGGACTTGTGTTTTCAGGAAGTGCCTCAGATTTCCATAGAGGAAGTGTCTATATTTAAACTGATGGGGGCGACTGTCTTTCATCTTTAGTCGTCAGGCCACTGGCTCAATTTATGGTCAAAAAGTTATTTATTTTTTTGACTTTTGCATAAGAGGAGTCTGCATTTGTACGTTTGAGTCAATTCATGCGTGTCTGCGTTTACGTGCATCTTCATCGAATATGCAGTTTTACTTTTTTCTTTCTTCACGAGAAAGCTGTGCACTGTGTGTTTTTATTAGTGATGCAAGAGCCCCGAAACGCAACAACACTTTTTTTTTTTAGTCTGGAAGGGAAGTTGATGTATTTTTTACTCTTCAAATTTAGTGGCATGTTCTTTTAGTCGTATGAAAAGCAGTTTTTCGCATTACAGTCATCTTGTAAACGCTGAAAAGTGTTAATTTTAGAAATCTGTTCACAGCTTGGCCTACAACACACCTCGAGGCAAGATTTATTTTTAGACATTTTTTTAGTTAAAGGCCAGCCATTTTTATTTATTTTTTTTAAAAAGGGGGGGGGAAACAGAAGATTTTTTGTGTGCAGGGTTTATATCTTGTCCATGAACTAAATCAGAAAACTTACTACATATTTAAGCTTCTTCTGGACATAAAAGTAAGCACTAACCCTACACGTTAACGTAACTGTAGTTTTCTTTGTGTCTGTACTCATGTGGGCTCTTGTTATCTCCTTGCCCATAAATTTTTGTCTTAATCGACCTATGATGACAGTAGTTAAAACACTAACATTCCTTCTTGTCAAAGTCACGCCTTTGTGGAAAGTACAGGACTTGCTGAGCAGCATTGATAGTTGGGATCAGACGATGGATCAAACACGCACACATATATGCGAACAAAAACAAAAAAAACAGAAGTTAGTCGAGGGAAATTCCTGTGTTTAGAGTGTCTACAGTTTTTTTAAGAGCTGCACACATCGACAAATACAGCCTCTACTGTTTCACAATGAGAAAAAACCCAGCGCTGCCAAAGGAGACAAAATAAAATTCCAGGGTTTTTAACAGCTCACACTTTCACACTCTTCTTTTGAGCAACACTGTATTTCCTTGGGCTATTAGAAAACTTCAGAAGGTATTTTATTGACATTAAATAACACATGCTGTCTCCATCCAAGTCGGCTAAAAGCTTTATGTCAAGCTGAAGCCCTGTCTGCAGTGCATGTGTGTGTTTTCAGACATATAAGGATCTTGGTGTAATCTGCAAACCAGATAGTGTGAAGTTTGAACCAACGGCTCGGAAATCCCCAGACTTTAGTTTCACATTAGTGTGCACGTGCAGCACTTGTCCGCTCTGTGCACAAACTGTATATTTATGAGCATCAAACTTTGTAGCCCATGCTCTACTGTTAACTGCTGGCTTTCTGTGTGTTGATAGGAGATGGGAACTGTCTGCTTCATGCTGCGTCTCAGTACATGCTTGGTGTTCAGGACACAGACCTGGTGCTCCGGAAAGCTCTCCACAAGGTTCTGAAAGAGACGGACACTACTGTTTTTAAAGCTCGCTTCCAGGCGGAGCTGCTGCAGTCCCAGGAGTTCACGCAGACCGGACTCCGATACACCACCATGGTATACAAACCCGACCAAAAATCACGTTATATAGGACCTCATCGATATTTGGGTTAGAATGTGAAAGCTTGAGTTCAGATTCTGGATTATCATGCTATCATTCTTGCTTTAAAAAATTATAATTTATCATTTAGGTGTGCTCAAATTAGTTTTTATTTTTATCCCAACTGTTTGTATGTGTCTCAGAACTGGGAGGAGGAGTGGGATAAAATTGTAAAGATGGCATCGCCGGTCTCTAGTAGCAATGGCCTCCAGTTTGACTCCCTGGAGGATATTCACATCTTCATCCTCTCCAACATTCTCCGCAGGCCCATCATCGTCATTGCAGGTACTCGCTGTTAATCACGCTGGAGTGCATTTGTTAGACTTTAAAGACATTCTGCTGGTTAGTCCACATATTTATGCCTTGATGGTGTATTGAATATTGTGAATTCATTTTGTTTAGGATAGATTAACAATTGAACATTAATATGGTCAGAGCTGTGATTAGTTCAATTCTAAATCCTAAAGAGGTTTATATATTTTTTAATTCAACAGACCAGGTGGTCAGAAGTATGAAATCTGGCTCCTCCATCTCTCCTCTTAATGTGGGTGGGATTTATCTGCCTTTACAATGGAAGCCCGCAGATTGCTATAAATACCCAATAGTGCTTGGCTACGACTCCCAGCATTTCGCACCCCTCATCACCGTCAAAGACAGTGGTCCAGGTAGGAAAGAGAAGAAACATGGAAAGTAACTAAAGAAACAAAGTGCTTGTGTTTTTTTTCTTCTCTCCATCTAATATCTTGGTCTGATCTGCTCCTCCAGAGATCCGAGCAGTTCCACTGATTAACCCAAAACGAGTTGGCTTCGAGGAGCTGAAGGTGCACTTCTTAATGGAGAAGGAGCACCCTCAGAAAGAGAGACTTCTTAATGACTACCTGCACATTATAGAGATCCCCGTCATAGGCTTGGGCCACGACACCACATGGATCATGAAAGCTGCACGGTACCTATAGATTATAAATCTGTTCCTTAAAATGACAGTATGGGAGGAAATGGTGTCTTAGCTGTTGGTCAATGATCCAACTCAACACTGCTTAACCATTTTTAATGAAGCTTTTAATAAGAATTGTTTAAGAAAGTTAATTTGCTGAGTACTTCTTAAGTTATTAAACACACTGTGTGTGTCTGTTCTTAGACTGGATGAGGGCAACCTGCCTGAAGACATGAACCTGATGGAAGACTACCTACAGCTTGTCAACCATGAGTATCAGCGCTGGCAGGAGGACAAGGAGCAAGCCTGGGCCGCCCAGCCGCAGCGACCGCCACCGTTCTCTGTGTCTCAACTCTCCCTCATTGAGATCCGTTGTGCCACGCCCCGATGCACCTTCTATGTCTCCGTGGACACGCAGCCTCATTGCCACGAATGCTTTGAGAAGCGACAGGCCACCACCGGAGGAGGCGCAAGGATAGAAGGGGTGGTTCAGACCAAGGGAGCAAGTGTACAGGGAGGTTTGGGAGTGGTGGGAGGCTCAGAGGCTGAGGTGAGCTCCAGAGGGACTCGAAGCAGTAGCCCACCCTGCTCTTCCACTGGTAGAGGGGTGGTCTTGTCCAGTCCCCGCTCGGCCCCACCCACTGCTCCCAGCCTCAGTCTTTACAGTGAAACTCATGCCATGAAGTGCAAAACACCGGGCTGCCTCTTTACCCTCAGTGTGGAGCATGATGGACTTTGTGAGCGCTGCTTCAACTCCAGGCAGAATCACGGACCCCCTGTAGCTGGAACAGTTACTACAGGGCTCCCTGGCCCCAACGGGGCACCTACTGTTCCCCACCCAGCTCCAGGCTCTGGCTGGACCCAGTGGGCGGGCTGCGAGACAGAGACTGAGCGATGCAGCATGTGCAGACAGGAGGCGTTCAGGATATTCAATGGCCTGTGTCCTCCATGCATGCAGAGACAACAGGCTCCAGAGAGGAGTGAGCCACAGCAGAGCAACCCCAGGACTGAGGGTTCTGCTTGGAGCCAGGCCAGAGACACTGAACAGCCATGCCTCACGCTAACCCCAGGACACACGTCGGCCTGGCAGGCCCCTCTGGCCCGGCCATGTAAAAGATCTGGCTGCCAATTTTTTGGGACACCAGAGAAACTGGGTTTCTGCACTATTTGCTATGTAGACTATCAGACCAACCACCGTAAGTCTTCACGCTTATTCACTTGAAGTGTTTTTCAGGTGTGATAAATGTTTGATCAGAGTTATTGTGAATATTTGCTCATGGTGTATTGTTTATGTTCATCCCTGTGCGATCCAGACCTGACTCCTCCTCCTGCCCCAGTCCAGAGCAGGCATGGTTTGGAGGCAGGCTTCCAGAATGCCACACGGTGTCGTGGATCTGGATGTGGCTCAGCTGGCAAGGCAATGCTGGAGGGCTATTGTGATAAGTGCTACGTCAAAGAGCAGAGTTCACGTCTCAACCAAGTGGCACATAGGACCCCTTACTCCCCCCCTTTGGTACGTTTCTGCCATCTCATCGTAAACTACTTTTTGCTTGGTCTTTGTCGGATTTTGTTCCATGCATTTTTATTTATTTTTTGTTCTGCCCTTCTCCTCTCCCTCAGTTACCAATTGACATTTGTTTTTCCTCTTTATTCTCTCCCTCTCATCTTAAAAAAAAAAAAGCGTGACCGAGCAGCTAAACCCAGATCTTCGCAACAATCCCAGACCCAGACTCAGTGCCGGCGAAGTGGCTGCAGTAATGTGTCCCCGGGTTGCACAGACCTCTGCCCGGAGTGCCACACGCGCGGCCAGGGACGAGAAGCAGGCAGGCGGGCGCAGGCGCCCAAAGAAAAGTCTAAGCAGAGGTGCCGGACACAAGGCTGCGACCACTATGCCAACCAGGAGAAACAGGGCTACTGCAACGAGTGTGACCACTTCAAACAGATCTATCGTGGCTGATCACATTCGGCGCACGGCGTCGATGACGACCCATCGGTAGCTCGTTAGAGCCACTGCCCTGCAGCGGGCTCCCCATGCCAGTCAATGCACCTCTGATACTAACTAACTAAGTAGCTAGTGACTAACTAGCAACCTTATGGCCTGAAAATCAAACCCCCTTATGTCGAATGTGAAGAGAGAGTGTGTGTACATGAGGGGGTTGTGGTGAATGTGTGTGTGTGTTTGCAGTAGACATGGCCTCCAGAATACCTCTCTGTGCAATTATGATCATCTGATTCGCTGTGTGCTCTTACACGGTTAGAGGTTCGGCTACATGTCGGAGCAACTGGCCTGACTCTTGTGTACAGTCTGTATTTAGAGGTACGTAGGGAATCGTGCCGGACAGAATGATTGTATATTGGCATAACAAGAAGCATCTGACATTGCTTTATAGACCACAGCCAAGGATTTTTACCCCGTCTGTCTGTATGTCTTAACCCATCTGTGTATCTGTCTGCCTGTCTGTCTAGCATTAGCTCTGAGGAGTGAGGGACGCAATGGTGTGGCAAGCCCAATGACAAATCTGTGGAAGTAGTAAGCAGAAGTGAGGCGAATTGAGCCAAAGCAAGCAAATCACACATTAATCTATAATCAACCTTTTTCTTTTTAGCTTAAGATCTTTTACTTGTCCTCTCTATCAACAAAGATGTGCCAAAAGAGACTCTACAAATCGATAATTTATTCCATTGGTCTGACAGTGGCAATGCAAGTTTACATTTTCAAGCAAATCACTTTCAATTGTTGCCACTTATCCCAGCAAAATTAAATGGCTACATGTAGAAAGCTAAAAGGAACTTATGTGGCTAAACAGTGCAAGACAGACAGGGCTGGCCCCTGCTGGTTTTGGTGCTACATGTACAGAAACACGAGCCTCTCCATTGTAGCCGACATGCTGGTGTCAGCGGCCAGAAGGCAGAGAACACAATAGAGACAGGACTTCCCTTTTTCTATCTTCTAATTTCCCTTTTTCTCCAAAACAAATCTGTTGCCTTGGACATTGTTTTTCATGTTTACTAGCAACTTAAGCACCTAAAAACACGTACAAAACATGCACATGCAAATGTAGAACCGGTCGTGTCAGATTGGGATTGTTCACAAAAGGAAAGACCTTGTGAACGTAGGCACATCAGATTGAATAACTTCCCACCTTTCCACCACATATACACGTTTGCACATCCAAACATAGCTCTGTGAGATTAAATGCCCCCGAGGTGATGTGTTGGTGAACAAACTCCGCTCAGTGTGACAGGGTGACGATTTCCAAACTTCAGAGAGCAATCCCGTTGCCTGCCTCGGCAAACCTTGTTTATCTGAATGTGTTTTGTGCCGTTTCTTTAACAGCACACTATTGGGGCTAATCCTCGATAAGTTTTGCCTTTAAGTAGTTATAACATTTTATGGACCATAGGGGGCCTGCTCGAAGATCTCGTACCAGCGCCTCCACCTTTAAAATGCTTTTGTGAATATGGACCTTCGTTCATATGTTAGGACCTTCCAACCCGATGCCTCATCTTTTAACATAAAACACAAAACGCACTCACGTGTGCGCCTGGAATAAACAAAAAAAAAAGAACTTGACATTTTTATTTCTTTTGTTGGATTTTTTTTTTTTAATGTATTTTGATATATTTATTTAACCAAAATACAAAAGCAAGAAGAAAAAAATGTGCCATCAGTTGCCAAACAGTTGTTGTTACCTCCTTAAAATGGCCAGCCTGAGTTATTCTGGACTAGCTAAAGCGCCACAGATAGACATCTTCACTTCGGTGTAGCCACCTCTTAAAGCTCATCAAGATCTCTCACTGCAATTCCACAAACGGACGCTCTTTCCACAAGCGTGCTTTATTCAAATAAGAAGAAATATTTATCTTAATAGATAACATGAAGCATAAAATGGTAATCAAACTCGGATGTGATATCAGCTGCAACAGTTATTCCCCTCAGACCGTCGCCAAACACCTACTCTGCTGTAGATGTCCATCTGTGGCTTTAGTTGGAAATGACTACCAGGCTCTCGGTCTGCCTTTTCATTCAACTGTATCTAAAGCTGTCAGGCCAGCCCACACGCTGACGGCCTGTGCGTAGATCTCTGTGCTTTAATCACCTCTAGACAAACCTTAATCAACAAAAGGATAATTAGTGGTCGGCTCGTCAGGACCCCTGAACATCGTTTGGGGGTCTCTGACTGATTTTTCTTTTGCCTGAGAGGAGATCATATAAATTGCACATGATTTGTCTAAGCTGCTGAGGCGTTTAGGAATGGTACTCTTGACCTGTGTAGGGACATTCCATCAGTGGGGAAACGAGCGGCGGCTTACAAGCAGAAAGTGTAACAAAACAAATGCAAATGGTTTGGAAGTTTCTTTTGACAATAGGGTATTGTATGAAAAAAGCCTGGTTTTATTTGTTAAGTATTTATTCATATCAAGATATCTGTATTGTGTGATTCAATAATTATTTATATGTTGTCCTGAAATGAATTATTTTTACTAAGAAATCTGACTATTGTGGTTCTTGACTGTGTGCCTGTCTGTATGACTGCTTTTGGAAGGGTAACTAGTTTAACATTATTACAACAATTACCAAATGTTATGGATTATGGCTGGTTAAGAAAGTAATATAACAAATGCAATCCTATTTTCTCCAATATTGTTTATATTTTATGTGAGGCTCAACATTGAGCTCATCTTTTAGTCCAATTAATTTTGTGCTGAATCCCTCTCCAGTGTAGGAAGTGCTGTAGGTGCTGCAAAAGCCATCAGATAATAAATTCTGAGGCCTGGTTAAGATGTTGCAAAATGCACCATTTATTATGTATGCAGAGCTGGGTTGTCTCCCCCCCCCCATCCAACTCTTGTTTTTCTCTTTGGTTGCAGAGTTCCAAAAAGAAAGTTCAAATGATGAGCGTTTCATCTATCATTCAGTTCTTTCTATGCTATTGTTAGTGTGTCATATGTTAATTATAGTAATGAAAAAAAAGGGATCCCCCACCCTTGCATACAAAACGGTTCGCTTGGGAGGAATGGATCATTTGGTGGGAGGGGGGAGTTTGGAGTGAGGGGAGATGTGGCAGTTATCGTTGGGGAACTGGTTACAAAAGCGACAGCAGAGACAGTGACATTTAGTGAGTGTGGGACTGCAGAGTGATGCGTGGGCTTCACAAAGAGGCTTGATGTGGTTTCCTGGAAATACCCTGGCATGCAACAGCAAACGTGTGTGTGTGTGTGTGTGTGTGTGTGTGTGTGTGTGTGTGTGTGTGTGTGTGTGTGTGTGTGTGTGTGTGTGTGTGTGTGTGTGTGTGTGTGTGTGTGTGTGTGTGTATATGTATGTATGTATGTATGTATGTATGTATGTATGTATTGCATACATGCATATATATATATGTGTATATATATATATATATATATATATATACATCTATATATTTATATATGTCAAAGGTACCTAAACTAAGCCTTGCTTTCAAATTATGCTAACAGCTGACTCGGGCTGCATGTATGGAACTTGAAAAATGGGTGATTTTTACAGTCTCATCACACATATCAATGCAATGTTCAGCACTTCTTTGATTTTTATTTTATATTTTTAGATAAAAAAAAATCATTGTCTTGAAACTCAAGTCCATTTCCTGTATTTCTATACTGTATGTCATAATTTATTGGAACTTCTGTATATCACCAATCTTGTTTTTTCCCCCTCATTCCAATTCACCATCTTGCCTGGTTCTGCTGGAGGTTTCTTCCTGTTAAAAGCAAGTTTTTCCTTTTCACTGTTGTTTTTGTGCTTGCTCAGGATGTGTGACGGCGACGAAGAGAACATTTAACAAGTCTGTTGGCTTTCTTCCTTAGAGAACTTTTACTAATTAGCTTTTGTATGTATGTGAATGTTTTTGTACAGCGTCCTGAGACAACTTCTGTTGTGATTTGGCACTATATAAATTAACTGAATATATATATATATATATATATATATATATATATATATAAAACTTTAACTTAATCCAAAAAAGTTCAATCTGGTCCTCTGGACATTCAAAAAAACAAAACAAAGCAAAAAAATATAGAAACGTTTCGTCTCTCATCCGAGAGACTTCCTCAGTCTGAGGAGCTGTATTCAGCTCAGTCTCTTAAATAGCACCTTCTCAGAGTGGATCAACCAGTTTTGCTGCTGACAACCAAAACCAGCTGATCACATGCTCAAGAAGGACCATCAGCCTAACAATGGATCATTAGCACACTGATGGCTGTTTACTATTCACAGAGGGCTGAGTGATACTAGCAATCACAGCATTGTAAGAGGGGGACAATTACAGTTGTGGGAATTTTGATAAGTTTATACTTCTACCCACTCCATTGAATATGTAAAACAAAAAGTTTTGACATTATGCTTCAT